TTTTTTTTTATTCTCCAAGAGTTTTGAACTTTATTCAGTAATGGAATAAAGCGTAAGAAGAAAGGACTGTAGCGTCCCTTTCAGAAACGGCAAAGGCGCTCATCGGATTACAGGCAGTGAATGCAATAAGCGCACTGACATCCATTGTGATTTACGGCTCTCATCGGCGGGTAGCGTAGGTACGCAGGGCGCACAGCCTCAAAGGGACTCGCAGGCTCTGCCACTGCATCAGAGGCATCCACGGCCTGCACGATACAGCCCCAGCATCTGGTATTTCAATACATTAGGCAGGGCCTGCTTGCCCTTTACAAGGAAATAGTCTGAAGACTGCTGAGAGGAGTCGGGCCAGGTTGCTAATGAAGGGCTTTGCATTTCCAGGCATCTCGTGCGTTCTGTACATCTCTGGGTGGAGAGAAACAGCTTCTTGGGAAGGGAGAGGGACTCCCTGGGAAACTTTCAGCCGGACAGAAAGTCCAGTACATGATCATGGAAAGAAAGAAATACTGAGGACACCCTAGCAGAGCTTTTTAATTGAAGCAAAAGAGTAATTCTTTCGTTTGAGCTCTGTGGGCGAAGGCCAGGCACGGGGGCACGGAGGGCTGTGCCTCACCTCCTCATCTTACCCTCATACCCTTTGAAGGCTACGAGCAATTCCTAGGTCTGCTGCATGACCCTGCCCGCGTCCTCCTGCCACCGCTGGAAGCAGGCACCGAGGCAGCGGTAGCTTCTGCTCTGAATAGCTCGAGAAGTGGAATATATGAAAGATAAAACCACAAGTGTGAAGTATATTTGGACGTGGGAGATGTTCTCATCCTGCAGCCAGAATGATATCTCTATGGTCCACAGCCCTCCCGCAAGGGTTGCCTTGTCTGACCAAGCTACACGTACACGTTCACATTTCATGTTTTAAAATGGCACGTCTCCCGTCGTCCTGACCCCAGGTAGCTGGGGCACGTTGGTTAAGGCTCATATGTATTCACTGCTCGCAGACTTACATCAGCCCTTTGCGGTGAATATAGATCTTCAGTTTAATACAAAAATGACAAGGCAGGTACACAGCTGGGGGGTTCTTGTTGGCTGCCAGTGTGCAAACACCAGGTAGGACTTTGCTAATCATTGATCAGCAGTTTCAACCATGGACAAAAAGAGTCCCTGTGTTGGACGGTGATCAGTGTGTGATCCTGGGGGAGTCCTGGTAACCCGCAGAGGCTACAAAATTCTGTGTATGGCTTGAAAGGTGGCGCTGGGCTTGGGACCACAGGGAAGTGGGGTCTGAGAGCTTTGTACCTGGTGAGCTTTGTACCTCGGTGTCGGGTTTTGCCTAGGCTCAAAATTCCTACAAATTCTGCCTGTGCTGCGGTACCGCTGTTGAGCCGCAAGCTGCAAACGGGCCAGGGGGGTGTGAGAAACACCGGACTGTCTCACCTCCCCTCCAGCATCCTAAACCGGGACAGACTGGGTGGAGTAGGCTGGGTCTAAGCTGCGGGAGGGGACCTCAAATGTCCCCGAAGGCAGCACCCACGGTCCCGTTCCCGGCACCGCATTGCCCTCCCTCCACACCACCACAACGGCTGACCATGGAGGGGAGGATGGCGAGTAGAGGTGCCCGCCGCGCTGCCGGCAGAGACCGCAGCAGGCAGGCCGGGGTGGCGGCCAGCACGGCGAGGGGTCCCCGTCTCTCTGGGCGGCACGGTGAGGGGCTGTCCCGCACGTGACCTAGGCATTTTGAAAGCCCCACACTTCCAAGAGCTGCACCTTGAAGTTCTCCTGGCAGAGCGGAGGGTTGTCGAAGGTCTCACAGTGCTCCGTGCGCCCCCAGAGCAGGTTGGCATCGAGGGACAGAGCTTGGCCTCCCCCTCCACCTGAAAAAGCAAGCAAGACAGTCGGGATCTGCTCTCCCCCCATTGCTGCTCAAGCAGGGACACTGGCCCAGCCGACGAGGTCTCTCAGGACTGCGCCCATCTCTCAGCTTTGTGCTTTGGGCGCAGCGCAGAGCTGGGCTGGGGATGCCGTGAGCTGCCTTCTCTGCTAATCGGGATGTCAGGGTGGAGGCAGAGCTCCCAGAGAGCTATCTCCAGGGCAGCCGGCACACGGCAGCCAGCGTGAGAGGTTGCCCTGGTAGCACAAGCTGAATTATTAAACTGCTCAGAGAGCTGGAGAGCAAGGAAAGCTCCTTGCATCCCCACAGCCAGGCTTGCCCTGATCCCGCTCCTCAGGGCTGGAAGGGAGGCAGAGGCAGCCATCAGGGCTGCGGGTGTTTCTGACTTGCTGCGGTCCTCTGCCGACCCCACCCCGGCGGCGGTGGGGCACAAAGATTCAACCCCCCTGCCCTAGCCTGACCTGGCAGACGGCAGTGCGGGCAGGCAGCTGGCGTGTCTGCTCCCGGTGACTGTGCCCGGCCCTTCCTTGGGCTGATCCCCACCTGCACCTCCTCTCCATCCCGCACAAAGTGGAGGAAAGGGCTGGGAAAGGACACACCAGCCCCAAGGGTGCAAACCTCGCCAGGAGGTTTGGGCTATGGTGCTTCCCCTCGGCTGGCAGAGCCCCTCTGGGGCTCTCAGAAGGAGCATCCTTGCCCTTGTGCAGCTTTGCACTCTCCTGCTAATTTGAGGAAGACGGGAATGACTTCATCTTGCCTGACTTTAAGTTCATATCCTAAACCAGGAGGTCTTTGCCTCTACAGGCAGCTCAGATTTTAATCTGGAGTAGAGCCCTTTTCAGCCAAAGCAGCGGTGTGTCGGTGGGTGGGTGCCCACCATTCGGTAATTACCGATAATGATCCCTTCCCGTGACCCGGACATGAACATGGAGGCTGTTTTGGAAGGCAGAAGGAAATGCCTGATGGCCAGAAACGGGGAGAGACGGCCTTTCCTCTGCGGTGTGGGCACGGTGAGACGGCTTGAGCTGGTGCTGTGGCTATCTGGGGAGGAGCCAAGGAGGGATGCAGGAGATGGGGAAGGCGACCGCTGGCGTGAGCGCGGCACGGCTTTGGCCAGCTCCGGCTTCTTGATGAACACCCACTCGTACCGCTCTGTCTCAGGGTGCACCTGGAAAGCAGGAGAAACTTGGTGAGCCCTGTCCTTTGGGGCATCTCTCCATTGCTGGGGGAAGACGGTGCTGCCTGGCCAGGCAGGTCGGGAGCCAAATGCTGTGTGCCAGGTCTGGACCTGGGGCAGGGAGGGGACAAGGCATCCTGGCAGTGCCAGGGCTGCTCTGGAGGTGGCTGTGGCTGAGAAGTTGGTTTTGTCTTTGCCAGGGGCTGCCAGAGATGGGCAAACCTGCACTGCCCACATTGCCGGGTGGATGCTGGATGGACGCTGGTGGGATACCAGATGGATGCTGGACTTTGCCCCCAGGATCTCTTGGACCAACTTCAGCCTGCTCCCTCTGCAGGGACCCCAGGGCTGATTTGGGAATGCTCCATCCAGGAGCTGCCCCGAGCAAACAGGGCAGAAACCCGCCCTGCCACGCATGCTGCCCTGCTGTCATGCGGGAGGATGCTCCAAGACCCACCCCGGGGTTACTGCACGTTGCCTTGGGGGCTTGGGGCAAGTCGGCTCACCCAAAGCAGGAGTTCATTCTCTGTTTGCTCAGATCCAGCACAGCAATTTCTGTGCTGCTGCCTCCTGCCAGAGCTAAGGGGCAGCGGTGGGACCGTGGTAGGGAAGCAGCTCGGTGCCACCATGCCCTGAGTTCTCAGAGGGGTAAAGGAAAAAGTAATTAACGGACAAACCCATAAGTGTAAACCCAGAAATAAAAAGTGACTTACAGTGAACACAAAGCACTCCCCTGTCCCAAAAAAGCCTGATGTCGCCCCATTCTTTTTCCTTTCACTCCAGTCGGAGGAGAGAAATGCCCCGCACACCTTCGGGAGAGAGCACAGGGAGCCGTCAGCGGGGGAGGTGGCTGGGACCAGAGCAAGCCCCAGAAACACGAGCCATGGCATGTGCATTCAGGAGGGCAAGGGCTCTGTGAGGTCCCCTGCGGGAACTGGAGAGCCAAATTCTGCTGTGTCAGCTAAATCCTGCACTGACAAGTCACTGGTGCTCTGGACGCGAGTCCACTCAGCTTCAGTGCCTAAGGAGGGGCTCTGGGAGATTTGGGGGGGGTTGCTCTTCTGCAGCAGAGGCGACTGCAGTGAGCTGCTTGCTGGTCGATTGAGTGGGGCCGGTTCGGCTGTCCTGGGGCGTTCCCTGGCTCAGGCTTGGGCGTAGGAGCTGTGCCTCCCACCCCCGAGCCCAGTCCAGCTCCCGGCAATGGAGAGGAATAACTGTGTGGCTCTAAGCATTGTATGAACAGTATTGCAACACGCTGTGGATGGGGGTCTAGGAGTCCCTTGTCCTCAGCTGGCCCCTGGACGGTGGCGAGGTGGTTGCCTGTTTTCTGACTCTTTAGAGAAAATGTGTTTTAAAATGGCAAAGACTCAGGTAGCACATTTTTTTTACCTACAAGGCTTTTAACCAGTGCCAGGGATTCTTCCACCCCCAGTCAGGCTGACCCTGGTGTGGATGTCCTTGACTTCACCACGGCTAGAGGGGACCTACCGAGAGGTGGGAACTCGTGCTTGTCCTTGGTACTAGCTAAGGAGTAAAATGAGCTAAAACGTGTAGGAAACAAGGTTTTATAAATCACCTTCTCTTGTCTGCACCAGGCCCTGGGGGGTGGCAGGGTGTTTATCTCCGCGCCACGCTGAAGTGTCAGGCTTGGGAAATCAGGACTGATAGGTCAATAAATCTTTGGGATGCCTGAACAATCTACAGAACTGGCCTCTGCTGTTTGATGACGAGTGGAGAGATAAAATATGGGTTTATGAGCAACTCTCAGAGTCCCTGGGAAGAGGCCTGGCTCAGGGTTTTTTTGCAGTTATTTCACAACTTTCAAATATTGTAGAAGCTGTCCTTATTTCTCCTCCATTTCCCTTGTGTGGCTGCTCTTGCAATCAGAGAGAGATCCTTGCATTTTATGCATTGAAAGCAAGTCCTGGCTCAGGCAAAGCATCTACTGACTTCAGGAAATTCTGCTTAGCAAGGACTTCATGATCTAGTCTGTATTTGCAATAAAAGAGTATCACTCATGGCCTCTCTCCATCTCACTTGACTCCTCCTCTGTTTCCCCTCAGCAGCACCCTTTAGACCAGCCTGTGTCTAAGGTGGCTTTTGGTGCCGGGGGATGCAGTTTGTTCTCTCCTGGGAGCTGGGACAGACCCTGGGGCCGGGCAGGAGAGGGACCACACAGCCCCGTGGCTGCTCCAAGAAGTGCCGGTGGAGTCAACCACCCTGTCCCCTTCCCCACATCGGCACCAGCGCAGCCCACTTCTCTGCTTGGGAAATACTTACCTCCCCCTCTGTTGTTTTTATGAGCAGCACCGTCGGTTCGTAGCCTTCACAGCACGTGTAAAACCTGCAGAGATGAGTAAGGAGGCTGGGTCGGTGGGGGTCTGAGAGCCAGGAGCAGCATGCCATGCAGAGAGCCCGGGTGTGCGGCGAGCACGGGGCTGTGAAGGACAGTGGAGAGTGGTGGTGGCTCTTCTCAGCCTATTGCTGTGCCGGCAGCTGGCCCGAGGGAGCTCGTGGAAGGACAGCGGCAGAAACTCATAATCATGTAGCTCGAGCAGCTTCAGTGTTTGTGCAGGAACGGAGGGAGTTGGCTTATGGGACTTCTCAAGTCATCATTTTTGCTTGGTGAAGCTCAGATAAACCCAAACACTAAATCCTCCCACCCTACCCTCAGGCACCAGGCTGGGGGGATGCTTCATGGGGGGAGTTTACCAAATGAGCTTGCTTTTAATCTGGATGTGTTTCATAATCTGGGCTCTGCACCCTGTTGCTGCCTTGGAAAGGTGCAGGGCTGTGCACCCCAGGATGGGGCTGCACCACTGTGCCATGGGGCGCCTGCTCGTCTCTCACGGGCTGGGGGAGCACGCTCGTGGTGCTAACGGAGGCACTACCATCGCAGCCCCACCTTTAAACACTGCCCTGAGAACTGGGGCAGCGTGGGCAGTCATCCAGTCCCTGGACAACCTGGCACCCCTTCCCGGTCGGCAACTGAGCATTGCGGGGATGTCCCTGCTTCCCACCGCACCCTTCACTCCATGGCCGTGGCAGTGGGCGTCACTGGGCCCTGGGCTGTCTCCAGCGCTGACACTGTTGCAGTGTTGGGCATTGCCCGTGACACTTGGGCTCTCTTAACTTGTGTTTAGAGGGTGTGTCTTCCCCGTGGCAGGATGTACCCACATGCTGTCTACCCCTGCCCTGAGCTCTGCCTGCTCTGCGAGTGCAGCCTTTCAGCTTAACATGCTCCTACAGAGGAGCAGGTTTGGGTTTCCTGCCTGAAAACATTCATGCAAAGGCAGCCTCAGCCCACTGGAAGGCTTTTGCCACTTCACAGCTTGGGAAGTCAATGGCAAACTCATTTTCCAGCTCAGTTTTGAGCCGCAGCACTGACCGCAGCGTCCAGTAGCCGCCCTGTGCTCCGTGCCGCTGGGGGGAACTGGAGGCCTGTGGATGGCATGCTGGCTGGACCTGGCCGATGGTAGCATGCCCGACACGGCGTGGCACATGGGGATGTCCTCCTGCACAGCACATCCGCAGGGCTCAATGTTCCCCGTGCAGTGCTGAATTGCTGATTGCCATCTGACTGAGCCTCGGCTCTCTCCCCTGCAGCCAGCGCTGGCCCAGACCACTCAAGATCATGAATCAAGCCCAAGAGAGTCCCCAGAAGACCTCAGATGTACCCCATGGACACTACATGTTGCTCCTTTCTACACCACCAACCTCTACCCAGTTTTATGCCTGGCCCATCTGACCCGACCTGACCCGATGGGCAGATGACGCTTTACCTCTGCAGGCTGCACCCATCTTCTGAGGTGGAGAAGAGCAGCAGTGGGGGGAAGAGGGAGAAGCGCTCAGGGATCCAGGACCAGACGACGCGCATCTCCTGAGCTGTTACAATGCTGGAGCTGAAGTTCTGCATGTCCACGGCCAGGTGGAAGGACTGCCTGCATGAAGGAGGACGTCCATTACTGCCAAGCTGGGGTGCCTATCTGCTTTCAGGGGTGCAGCCCCCGTGCATCAGGTTTTGTCATGCTTTTTGCATCATGAGCTTTTTGTTAACATAACTCTAACTGTACGGTGCCTCCTAAGAGGGTCTCCCACGAGGGGCTGTGAGGCAGCCAGCATAGCTAAAGCTACGGGAGATACCTGAAGCTCCCCCCATGTTGTGTCTCCACTGTAACTCATATTTTGTCTGCTTAGCCCCAAGAGCTGGCAAACAGAGAGATCTCCTTACCTGCTCTGCACCATGGTTATGCCCCTCTCCATTAAAGCCTTCCTGTTGGCCATCTGGAGAAGCCAGATTTCCTTGCGGGAGAACAGCCGGATGCCAAAGGCTCTCTCTAGGAGTTTGTCGACAGTCACGTGCTCAGCAATGTTCTGCACGAAAGCCTGCAGGTCTGCCTTGATGTCGGTCCCCTCCAGCTCGGCGGAGGTCGTCGAGAGCCTGTACTGCTTCAGCAAGGCCAGAGCAATGCGGTAGAGGACCTTCTGCCCCTCCAGCAGGTAGACATCAAAGACGCGGATGGCATAATTGAAGGGGAGGTCGTGAAAGAGCCACGATAACCATTCGGAGTAGACCTCAAAGACGTTCTCAGAGGTGCTGGCTATGAGTTTGTGAGCTGCTGGGCAGTGCTTGTTGGCCAGATCCCCAAAAGTCATGCAGGAGGCCTGGTGAGCCAGGAAGGACTGGTCAATGTAGCTGGTGTGGGGAGCGTTGCTGGCGATGAGGCGAGAGATGTTCTCGAAGCACTGAGCTTCATCTTCGCTGTAGTGCAGCAGCAGAGCCACCAGAGAGGGGAGGATTGGGCTGTAGGTTATGTCGGGGAAAAGGTTGCCAACACAGATGAGGATCTTCTTCAAGGCGGTGACCCCTTCCAGGTTGAGACAATACGTGGGCATGGAGCATCCTTCCAGGAACTCGGGCAAAGGGTGGGAGCTCACACTCGGCATCCCAAAGAGCCGACTCGCCACGTCCCTGTAGACGAGAGCATCTGGGGTGACGAGCCGGCAGGCGACCTGCTGGATGAGCTGGTGGTAGACCTGAGCTCTCAGAGCACGGCTTGCTGCCCAGTAGCCTTCTCTCGCCAGCTTCTTCAGCTCTTTTGGGGGCTTGCTGAGGATGTCTCGGGGGATATGTGCCTGTTGCTCCGGGTCTGGCATCCTGTCCCAATCCACGAACTGTGCACAGCCCAGGCAAGAGGCGGCATCGATGTCCCAGGTGTCAGCCTCGGACGTGATCACGATGGTGACTGGGTATGAGCCAAACACCTCTGTAGGACAAAGACCTTTTATTCAACATGCTTCACCGCCCCAGCTGACAGTGTTTCACCCTGGCTGATGGCGCTTTGAAGTCTTACAGCAACGTCTTGTATTTCAATAGTTACTCTCCCCCCTGCAAAGGGAAGGTTTTCAGGAGGCTTTGCCTGGCTGGAGCTGCTCGCTTTGCCCTCGCCTGCTCACATCGGCTCAGGCCCCCGGTGAAACCGCTGTCCAGGGGCTCAGGGAAGCATGGGCCAGGCACCAGCTGGGTGTCAGGGCTGCTTCTCCACACTGTGAGGGGCTTTGCACCCCTCAAAAAGCTCCTGACTTCCCAGGCTGTGATCTGCCAAGAGGGAGGTGCAGAGAGCAGGGACACAGTCCCTGTCCCCCGGGGATGCCCGTGGGACAGGAGCATTACCCCACCGAGGATAAAGGAGCAGCTCGGTCCCCGCCCAGCTCTGCAGGGGCGAGGAGGGACCTCAAG